ATCCTGCCAAAAATCAATTGACCATAAATGTAAGGCTTCATTTCTGGACTCTCAATTCAATTCCATCGATTTATATGTCTATCCTTACGCCAGTCATATGGTGTCTTGATTACTGTTGCTTTAAAGAAAGTTTTGAAATTGGAAGATGCAAGTCCTCCAACGTTGTTTTTCTTTTTCAAGATTGTTTTGGCTATTCTGAGTCCTGTGAATTTCCATATGAGTTTTAGGATCAGCTTGTAAATTTCTGCAAAAAAAGACAGCTAGGATTTTGATAGGGATCAGATTAAATCTGTAGATCAGTTTGGGGAGTATTGTCATCTTCACAGCATTAAGTCTTCCAGTCCATGAACATGGATGTCTTTCCTTCTATTATGTCTTCTTTAAATTATTTCAGCAAGATCTTATAGTTTTCGGTGTGCAAGTCTTACACTTTAAAAAAATTTATTTCTAAATATTAAACTTAAAAACAAAGTTTAACCCACCCACACATTTTTACCAAGATTTTGGTGCTCTAGCAGCAAGACAAAGCAGACCTAAGGGGGTCTGCCAAGTGCCATAGAACCCCTAAGGGTCTTAGGTGCCCTTAGAGCAGCTGTTTGTCCAAAGGGCACTGGGCACACAAGCTGGGAGGACCTCATGGGGTGCTGGGTCCTATCTAATTATTACTATATGATTGTTTCATTTACTCTTCAAAGATTTTAGTAATAAGTTTTCCAAAATGGTTTTTAGGTGTTGAGGAAGACCATTTTGTAAGCAGGAAGACTCTGTGAGAAGCTACTTTGCTCAAATCAGACATTCCATGAGAGCAGAAGACTGTAAGAATGTGCATTCCAATTCCATTCTTCTTTTTTTTTTTTGAGACAGAGTCTCACTCTGTTACCTGGGTAGAGTGCCATGGCGTCAGCCTAGCTCACAGCAACCTCAAACTCCTGGGCTCAAGCGATCCTTCTTGCCTCAGCCTCCCCAGTAGCTGGGACTACAGGCATGCGCCACCATGCCAGGTTAATTTTTTCTATATATGTATTTTTAGTTGTCCAGATAATTTCTTTCTATTTTTAGTAGAGACGGGGTCTCGCTCTTGCTCAGGCTGGTCTCAAATTCCTGACCTTGAGCAATCCACCCACATCGGCCTCCCAGAGTGCTAGGATTACAGGCGTGAGCCATTGCGCCCGGCCCATTCTTCTTAATATTTCAATTAGCCTCCTCCCAAAAAATATACCAAGGTAAGATTATTTCAGTCCCCCACCCCATCCCGCCCATCAGTTTATTTCTTCTACTTTCTCTGAAGCATTTGCTCTAAGTCTAGTGAGGACATGCTTCATTGCATCCGCAACTGGAGGGAAACTACCCTGACTCCAGCATTTTGTTCAGAGTCAAGGAAATGCTGTGCTTCCCTTGAGGACCTGTTATGTTTTTTTATGGTGTATGAGACACAGAGGTGTTTCACTTGTCATTTGCATTCCCAAGATGGATTCAAGGGCCTGGCTCACCTGTGAGTACCTGTAGGCCCATTACCTCATAAGTGTTTCCATCCTCCACTGAACCATCTACACCAGCGTCTGTGTTTTCCCTGGCCCTTGTACTTTCTTACGTTTTTTGGTAGACTGCAAATTATTGATCCTTTGGGGTCATTTTTTTCTTCTATTCTTTTTAAAGAGACTTTGTTCATAGGTTCCAGGCTGATTCTAATTTTTTAGGCTGTTTTGAAACATCTTCTTGCCTATTTTAAAAACAGTTAAGTTTGTGTGTTCTGCCATGTATTAAAATCTCCTTAATGCCTTAAAGATTTTTCCTGGAAATTTCACTGATTAAAAGTATTTAAGATCAAAGACTTCCTCAATTCACTGATGAACTACTTTCATAGCTAGAGTATAAAAAAAAAACCCAAAAGCTATTAATACAAACTGAATACTTAAAGAGGCAGGGACATACAAATCAAAGAAATATAATACCAATAACTTCCTATTACTAAGAGCTAATAGCTACAATATAGTCATAGAGTACTTACTGTAAGCCAGACACATCACAACACAATGTTTGGAGGTGGTAACTATCATTTCCCCCCATTTTACAGAGCAGGAAACCATGTCAAATAACTTGTCCAGCATCATACAAGGCAGTAAGCGGCAGAGGGGAACAACAACCCACATATGCTGGACCCCCAGGCCTACTCCACAATGCCTCCCCAGAACGTTTATACTTCTTTCACTTGGTAAATGAGGTTTAAGGGGGACAGGGGAATCTAGCGTTCAAGCAACATATCAATATCAATTATGCAATACATAAAGGAAAAACAGGAAGGAAACAAAAGGTGTCAAATCAAGCAAAGTTGAAGTTCACATTTCCATATACCCACCCATCACTCTGCTGTCCTGAGCCTTAGTCAAAATTCACTATCTCAGCCAGGCATGGTGGCTCATAACCTGTAATCCTAGCACTTTGAGAGGCCCAGGCAGGAAGACTGCTTGAGGCCAGGAGTTCGACGCCAGCCTGAGCAAGAATGAGACCCCGTCTCTACAAAAAATAGAAAAATTAGCTGGGCCTGGTGGTGCACACCTGTAGTCCCAGCTACTTGGAAAGCTGACGCAGGAGGATCCCTTGAGCCCAGGAATTTGAGGCTGCAGTGAGCTATGATGATGCCACTGCACTATAGCCGCGAGTGACAGAGTGAGACCCTGTCTGCAAAAATCTCAAAGACCTAGTAACATTTGATTTCCAAACCCAGAACAGATCAGAAACAGTATTACATGAATAACCACAATGTCAAGTGACAGGTGGATAGCAAAAAATGGGGGGAAAGGGACAGACAATAGTGATTTGTTTAGAAAAACATCTATAAGACATCACTTTTAGAGTTAAAAATCTTAGAATATTCCAACTTCTGAGCTTCAGTGTACTGAACTGTAAATGACATTGGATAATCCCAGCAATCCTCCCCACCTTGCAGGACTGCTCTGCTATTAAGATCAAAGACTTCCTATGAAAGGGCAGTATAAGAAAGGACCACATAAATGGGTTATTAAAAAATGGGTTTGAGGCTTAAAGGGATAACCTACAGTCTTTCCCAAGGTTCTGAAAACTACGGTGTTACTGTTTTTAAACATTTATAATAATTATAGTGATTTAGCCTCAATCTATGCATTTTCTTGGATGTGTTCAATATATTAAGGGGGAAAGGGCAGAAACTATGTTAGTCAGCAAAAAGAAAATTAGCGTGGATATTAACATCCAAAAAAAGTGAGTCACCTGAAGGACTGCCAAAGTTATCAGTACCTCATTTACAATGCAAAAGGTAGTAAAGAGATTCAACTGCTGCCAGCCAAGAATCACTGGGGCGAATTACAATTAATGTGCACAAGCCAGGCCAGGGTATTACTGATTCCTCTGAAAGCTTCCTAAAGCTCATTTTGTATACCTTGGAAAGAAGGAAAAAATATTTTGTTACAAAGTTTTCAGTTGGTGAAGTTTGTACTAAATTATATACAAACCACTCACCTTTTTTAAGATGTTTAGGAAACTGTTTTCTAATATGGGTAGCACGTTTGAAAAGGCAAAAGACCTAAACATTCCAATTTTAGATGCAAAGACTAAAATCAACTCCCTGTTTCAAAGATTGTTCAAAGTCTATTAACGAATTATAATATGATGCAATATGATGCGCAGACTATACAAGAGCCACGACTCTCCTCTGGGGTTTGACCATGGTGCGCTTCATTACCTCTACACAGTTCACGTCGCACCGCCTCCGCCCGCAGCACTGGGATGTCACAGATCTGACAATGCCAGCGCATTCTTCCAGCGGTCGGACGGTGCGGTGGCAATCCTGACGTGCCTCGGCTCCTGGGAGGTTAATGGGAATTAAACCACAGCAGCCCTCCTTTGTGGAGCTTTGGCCAGAACAGCAGAAAGGAGACAATGAGCGTTCTGTGCGCAGTTCCGCGCCGATTGGCTGGTCTCTCCCCCCAGAAACCCCTGATGTCATGGACTTGGAATGCAGGGAGGGAGGAAGGAAGGAGAGGATTTGGGGAGCGGGACGCCTCTCATCTCTTTCCCAGGTCAAAAGTCCCAACGATAAACTTAACGCATTCTTACGCTCAGTGGCAAAGCTGAGCGTCACCAAATCCCAATCGCCCCAAAATACAACCCGCCTCAGCAAATAAACCTTAGACAAAAGCAACCCACAAAAACACTCCTTGATATCGTTAAAGTCTAATGTACTACACACTTCTCAGTGTTTTATGAAAAGTCTCAAGTCTACAGCAGATAGAACTCCCAGAGCGGCGCGCTCAGGCTTTGTTTCCGTTTTCCGCAGAAGCAGCAGCAATTCGCCTCAAGGCTCCGAGACTCTCGAACCCTGAAGGGTCCTGGACCGGCCCTCGTTCCTCCCGGGGACCCTGGGGTCGGTGGGACACTCAGCGGTCTCCCTCCTTTGAAGGAGGCGAGGAACAATGAGGGGACCGGGTTAGCCACGTAACCGCCTAACTTCGTCCGCTGCTGAACTTGGCCGGGGGGGCTGAGGTGGGAGGAGGCGCGGGCCGGCCGGCAGCCTGGGCCGGGGCGGATGGCGGGGGCCGCGGCAGCTGCTCGCTGGGTCCCCAGGCGCGCGGACGCGCCCCGCCTAAGGGCGGATGACCACGCAGGAGCGCCCCCTTCCCGGATGGGCCCGTCCTGCAGGCACCGAAGAGCCCCCGCAGACAGAGCTCGACGCTGCGGGATCCCAGGCGCCGGGAACCCACCGCCCGCCGCCAGTCCCGGCCCACCGCGCGGGAACAAAGCCAGGAGAGCGCCCGGGAGCCGGGGCCCCGAGCCTGGGACGGGACGGGACGGGACGCGAGAGCGCAGCAACGCTCCCGCCGCCTCGACATCGCTCCGCGGAGACAGCGAGCTAGGGCGCGAGGGGGCGAGAGCACGGCCCAGCGCCCCCCCAGTCTCAGCGTCCCCCGGCCGCGCCTCGCACCCCTCGCCCAGGGGTCGCCCCGCCCGCACGAGCCCGGGCGCACCTTGTTCTTGACCTCGGCCGAGAGCCCGTAGGAAGGGCCCTTGTTGAAGTGGGTCATGGTGGTTCGGGCGGCGGGAAGAGGCTGCGCTCGGGTCCGGGGGTCTACGGCACTTGGCTTCCCGCTCCTGGCCCCGAAGCGTGACCGCTGCGGGAGATGCTCGGAGCTGGCTCCTCAGGGCGGCGCAGGAGACCGTCGCGGCGGCGGGGCGCGGGCAGTGCCTCCCTCGGCGACTCGGTCCCGACTGGGTCCCGCAGAGCCTCCGGGTCCGCTCCGGAATCCCGCTAGCTGCCTCGCTTGCTGCCCGCACCGCGGCTCCCCACAAACTGCCCCCACCTCTTCCCCGAGGCCTTCGGGGATTGGCCGACGAGCCCGACCAATGGAGGCCCGCCTCCTCCCGCCTCTCCGGCAAGGGGCCGGTGCGGCCAATTGAAGGGCCGGCTGCCTCCCCGCTGGGGCCCGGGCCCCCGCCCCAGCCCTCACGCCACCCGGGCCCGCGGCGAGGCGGCCCCTCCTCCGGGCTGGGCCCCGCGGACTGGCAGCCGGCCCTGCCCCGCCCCGCGCCCGGCGCCTGAGGGCTTCCCAGCCGCCGAGGGTTCACGTCAGCCTCCAGGCATCCTCCGCGGCGCTCGGGCCGGCGGAGGGGAGAGGAAGCCCACCGGGGCTGGCCCGCCACTGACCCGCCGCCTCCGCCTGCCCCTTCCCGGCGCGAGGCCCAGCACGCCCAGATAGAGGACAGGGCCCCTCCACCCGCTGCTGGAAACACCGGGAGCAACCTGGAGGCCCTGTGCCAGAGCAAGGGCGGGGCCTCCACCGACACCTGCTCCTTCCTCCCTCACCTCGCAGCCTCCCACACCTGTTGGCCTGACCTCTACCCCGCTGCCGCCACGGGAACAGTCAAGGCTTTTGGCCAAATTCGAGCTCACTCTGTCTAAACCTCTAAATGCAGTGCGGAAAAAACTGCGGAATGTGCCATGGCAAAGCCTCGGGCATTTCGAGTTCTTTTCTGGATTCGCACCAGCTCCTCTTTACAAGCATCTTTATCCGGAATTCAGCTAGTCCAAAACCCCAGGTGGCTATTGCTCTACTTGTGTTTTTGAATCCAGGGTCCTCTTTGATTCAGGAGTCCTTTGTCTAAAGTATCCTTTAGACCAGAAGCGGCCTCCATTCTTTGGTCCCTTTTCCTACTCACCACTTTCTTTCTTTCTTTCTTCAGATCATTTGGTGGGAGGAAGGGAACCCTCCTGCGCACCTGGTGCTGTACTAGATGTCTTCCAAACGTTATCTCATCTACTCCCCGCAAGAAGACTGCTAGGTAGACTTCGTGTCCGTTTTAGAGGTGAGAAAGCTGAAACTCGAAGACCTAAGTATCCTGTCTGAGGTCTGCCTCCTCCAAAGCTTCACCCCTTGCCACCACTGTCTAGCACACACCTGGGACAGGTTTCAGTCTCTGCGACCCAAGTGTGAGAGCTTTCTTTGCCAACTACCAGCTACTGTGCCTGAAGAGATCGTGGAACCAGGTGTGGCGACCTGCTTCCCTCCTAGAATAGAAGTGAATAAAGCGCCTTGAAAAGGAAATGCACAAAACTGCTATTAAATTTAACTTTTCAAGGATTTTCCCAATGACATTGGGGGTGGAGCTTGAAGGAAGAGGGAGGAGGAAAATAGAGAGGAAAGTGAAATGATTTTTAAATGATTTGCTAATTTAGTCCGGGCGGTAATGATGATAATTAGGGCATTCTTCCCACACAAAGATGACACAATTGACCCACTATTAGTGGAGCAAGCAGTTTGGGCTGTTTTTCCAGTAGCGCGACAGTGGCGGTATGTCACCCACAAGTCCTCATCCAATTTTCTTTGGGACCTACAAGCGTGAGAAATGGCAGCCAGATTGGAGGTACAAATCACAGTGCGCAACCTGCACAGCTTTCCTGCAGCATTCTAAGCCTGACTGCTCCTGTTCTGCGGTGGAAAACATGGTCAAAATCATTATATCTACTTAAAGGTCATGCTTGGAACAATGCTTGTATTCAATTCTTTCATGAAAAAAGTGAATTTTATTGTTTAACGGGAGTTACTGTTAAGGAACACAGAGTTTCAGTTTGGGATAATGAAAAAGTTCTGAAGATGGATAGCGGCAATGGCTGTATGACAATGTAAATGTACTTAATGCCACTGTTCACTTACAGAGCTTTAAAGTAAACATTAACGTTTACTCTGTTTGGTCAACTGTTACCTTCCCCAAGGTACTTGAAGTTCTTTCTGACATTGCCACTGGAACTTATTTAAAGTATTGTTGGTCCTATAGGATTCCATCAGTACTCCAGAGGCTTCCTTCATTTCTAATTTAACTCATAGAGCAGGAATAAGTAATTCTATGTTTAAAAATAAAATGAGAAAAACTTTTAAAATTCTGGATAATGAGGTATAATTGATATACAGCAAATTATATATATTTAAAGTGTACAGTTTAATGCATACACATATATACATATATACACCTTTAAAACCCATCACCACAAGCAGACTATGGACCTATCCATCACACCCAAGTTTCCTCATATGACCCTCCCTCCCCACCCCGCTTACCAGGCAACCACTAATATGCTTTATGTCACTATACATTAGTTTGTATTCCTAGAATTTTATATAAATAGAATCATACATTGTATACTCTGTTTTGTCTGGCTGCTTTCACTCAGCAAAATTATTGTGAGATTCATGGATTCATTAGTCCATTCCTTTTTATTACTGAGAGTGTTCCATTGTAGGGATACATCCATTCCCTTATGGATGAACGTTTTAGTTGTTTCCAGTTTGGAGCTATTACAAATAAAGCTGCAATGAATATTGATGCACAAGTCTTTGTATGGACATATGCTTTCATTTCTCTCCAATAAATGCCTACAAGTAGAATGGCTGAATCATGTAAAAGGTATATGTTCAACTTTTTAACTGCCAAACTTTTTCCAAAATGATTGTACCATTTTACATTCCCACCAGTGTGTATGAGAGTTCCAGTTCTTCTACATTCTTGCCAACAGTTGGTATGGTAAGTCTTTTTAAATTTAGTCATTCTAATAAGTGTGAAGTATGGTATCTCATTATGGTTTTAATTTGAATTTCCCTAATAAGTGATGACCTTGGACATCTTTTCATGTGCTTATTTGCCATCTGTGTATCTTTTCTGTGAAATGTTTGCTCAGATCTTTTGCCCATTTTTTTATATGGGTTGTGTTTATATGCATTTTCTTATTAAAGTATATATCTTTAACTTATCATTGTCAGGATAAATTTAGAAAATCCTGACCAAGTTCTAACAGTAGAATCTGTCAGCAAATGCTCAAGTTTAAGTAAAATGTCACATTACAAAATATCTACCAGCGTGTGGCCCAACAATCTTAAGTATTTTCACTAGGCACTCCTTTAATATACAGAAAGCTTTGAATTGAAATAAATGCTGTTGAAGAGGTCAACTCTACCTTTCCAAATTCCCATTAATTAAAAACAGTTGTTGGAGAATTGTAAGAAAGTATTTTTCACTGAGGCAAATTTGTGGATCATATTGTCACATCCCTTGCCACCAAGATAATAACCAATGTTTTGGAGAATATACCTTGTAAATCCACAATGTCAGAGAATTACAAAGAACTACAAAGGAACTGATCATTAACACATTAACTGTCCTGAGAGTTGTATTTTACTCACTCTGGTTTTGACCCTGGGCCACGTGAAGCATATATAAAATCTTGTTAATGTTCTTATTGTTATAATTGACAATTTAATTCTAAAAATGTGGATTAAATAAATAGAAGTCAGTAAATTTCATTTTTCTATTTATGTTTACCTTTAAATTACACTCAGTTTTTATTCTATTTTCTTGATAAAACACTGTGGCCTCAAGGAAAAGTTTCTGGGTTTTTTTGTGTAGCAGTCAATGCGTTAAAGGCAGAAGGGCGCCTAGAAGGCTCAAAGACTAAGAGACTGTTAGGCACCTACTATGTGGCACATGACAGGCAGTGAGATCATAAAATTCATCACCCAGATAGGGACACTTTTGAGAGTAAAAGGGGCACCATTAATAATTTTTTTTGTCAGGCAGTTCTGATAAAGCCCCTTAATAGTGTGTTCACTTCACCCTCAAAAGTGTCCCTGTTGAAATGATAAATTACACAGGCACCCCCACTTACAGGCATCACTCATAACAACCCTGGAAAGGTAAATATTATCTAGTCCCATTTTGTAAGCAAAAACTAAGATTTAGTGAGGAAGGATATATAACTCGGCCATAATCAGTTAATAGCAGAATTAGGATTTGAAACCAGGCCTGGTTTTGGATGATTTCTCAAATACCAACTTTCCAGATCCCTGAAAAATCTGAAATCACTCTTGTTTTGGGGCGGGGAGAAGGATGCTTTATGGAATTTATTAAAATGCTCCTGTCCTTACTACCTTTATCCTTGTAATAACAACTTTGTGTGGGATTTGACTGCGATCCTTTGTTGTTGCTCATCTTCATGCGAAATCAGTTTTCCCGGAAGATGAACAGCCAGATGGAAGAGATGCATGGGGTAAGGGAGGGAGAAGGGGAGCAGAGCTTCTACGCCCTCCCCAGACACGCCACCCTCCAGGAACCGCCACATGTTCAGCCGTCTGGAAGCTCCCTGAAATTCCTCTTGGAAGGCACATCTGCTCTTCTTCCCTCCCTCCTTTTGGAGAGTGCTCACCACTCACTCCAGGTAACACTGTTGGTATATGAACACCATGCCACCTTTCCCACCAGAGGCGGGCAGGTGGCACACCTGTCAATGGGATTACCCTATTCACCCCTAGGCCCAGTAAGGAGGTATGTGACCCAAGCAAGGCCACCAGAGTTCTTTATGGTGAACAGATGGAAGTTGAATATTTTGGTTATGGCAGACAGAAAACAAAGTCAAACTGACTTAGACAAAAAGTGGACTTAATTGATTCATGTGGCAAAAAAGGCTAGGAGACCTAGCTTTAGGCATGACTGGCTTCAGGGACTCAGTCAAAGCCATCATAAGCCACTGTGTCTCCACATAGCTCTCCTCCTCTGTTGACTTCCTCAGCATCTCCCCTTTGGTGTGAAATTTGCCTCCAGAATGCGCAGGCTTCCATCCTCACCTCCACAGCCACAACAGAAAAGAGAATGTAGCAAAAAACTGCGCAATTTCCCACTAGCTCCAACAGAAGTCCCAGAGTTGGGTCTCGTTGGCTTGGTCTGGGTCACCTACCTGACTCTACGCCAGCCACTGCGCCCGCAGGAGGGAAGCTGTGTTGGCAGGTCTGGGTATGTGCCTGAAGAAGGTGTGGAGGTGAGCAGGCAGCTCCACCAGCCCGTGGAGCTGGGAGAGGGAAGACGCACAACTCCACAGAAAAACAGGAGGGAAGAGATGCCAGAGTCCTGCGCTTGATTTTTT